AAAACCCTAAAATACTCTACTATGATGCACATAACAAAAGAGTGCGAGCGTTTGAAGCTTTATACCTCTATATGAAGCTTCCAACTCAGATATGCTCAGATCCAAGAGCCTAGACTCCCACTTCTTCTTCTCCAAAGCTTTCTCTTCTCTTCAACAACACATAAGAACTCTCAAAGGCTCTCATATGCACTCACAAGCTCTAAAAGGAGGGTTAGGGAATACTTATGGTTTGTTGTCTGAGAATGGTGGCCAGAAATGAGGCCATCATATCCTTTATATAGGGGACTCACCCTAAATTAGGGTTTTCACTTTGGGCCTAGTACGACCAACGTACCCTCTGGTATACCCAACATACTAGGTGGCTTCCGCGTCAAATGCACGCTTATGAGTACGTTGAGCGTACACTCTCGTACGCCTTGCGTACTCATTCACCACCTTTTCTCAATAAAGGGCTAAAATGGACAAGTGCTCAAAGATCAAGGGTTACAAGGTATACCTGGACCTGGGATGTTACAACATTGACTTTGCCGAGGGTGTTGACCTTGACGATGACTTTGACCAATGTTGACCCTAATGGGATTATGAGTATGAAAAGGGTAATTGAAGGAAAGGTTTATGCGTAGACGGTTGAGTGGATTGATTTCAAAGCAGAGGACAGTTCAGCAACTACCCAACATTTGAGGTGAGTTACCTTCCAGTAGAGGTGGGTCTAAGGCACCAATGTCGGCCCACCAGTAGGTGATTATGTTTGAGACGATTGTCTTTGTGATAATTGTTTGGTTGCCTCTATCTGGTATGCTCTATGTGCTAGGATGAGATCGTATATGTGTTAGTAGTAGGAGGGATGGAATAGTCCCCTGATACCGGTCGAACGATACCGAAGGGGTAGACAATACTCATGCATTCCTAGCAGTATGTTCATGATATGTTATTATGTGGTAGTGGTAGGGGTGAAATAGTTCCCGTAACCGGTTGAGATAAACCGGAGAGGTAGGTCGGACACCCCGGTATGTCTGACAGGGGTAGGTTGAGCACCCCGGTATGCTCAGCAGGGTAGGCCGGGCACCCAGATATGCTTGGCAGGGGTAGATCGGGCACCCCGGTATGCCTGACAGTATGTTATTTATATGGTATGTGGTATGATGGGGGAACTCACTAAGCTTCGTGCTTACGGTTTACAGTTTTGGTTTCAGGTACATCTTCCTCAAGGGGAAAGGAGCCGGCTTGACTGCAGCGCGTCACAACACCGTTTTTCCACATTATGATTGCTCTTGGGATTGTACTCTGACATTATTATGATCTGCGTTAAGACACATGACTTACCGGTTTTATTATATATGATATGCTGATGACATTTTCCATGATCTGTTTTATGAATCTATTAACTTAAAAATGAAATTTTTGGTCTCGGATTTTGGGATGTTACATGCACCCTATTGAAAGTTGGGTTCCTTTAATTTAAATATTTAAATCAGGATTATGATCCAAGAACTGAAGCACCCACAATTTCAATTTGAAACCCAATTGAAGATACAGAAAAGAGCAATGCATTCAAAAAGTACAAACTTTTAATACAGTTAACAAAAATGATAGAAAAATCATTAACTAAAACTCATATCTCCACACAAAAAATCGAGAACACATAAATTATAGAGAGAAAAAATCGAAACACCATGAAGCAAAACCTAAGAAATCATGAAGAAACTCAAAAAACGATAATTTTGACCTAAAATTGTAACGCTCGGTTCCTAGGTAAATTCATTAAAAACCTAAATGTTTTTTTTGTTAATTGTGTATTTACGTTAAGCGTAAATAAGGTACGCAGGGCATACCTTGTCAGCCTTGGACACGGGGCTAACCCTCCTGGTTTGTTGGGCGTATCTATAGTACACTGGGTGTACTTGAGCATGAGACAAACCCTAAATTTTAGGGTTTGGACCCTATTTAAACACTTTATAACCCCACCCTAACACCTCTATTATAACCGGCCTCTTTCTCCCCGAAGCAACTTCTATAAAACCCTAACCCCTTTTTAGAGGATATTGAGTGTTGTGTGTGTTTTGGTGTGTGTTGGGTGCATCTTGAAAAACAAGAGATCATTAAGGGATGATTAGTTTTCTTGGAGCTTGAAGGTCCATCACTCTCTTCACCTTTGCAAGCTTCTGTAGGTATAAAGCTTCAAACTTTATGACTCCTTAGCTTAGATCTAGATTTGGGATTATGTTTGGTATGCTTTTTGCCCCTTTGTTTGTTTTTTGTCAGTAGAAGTTACTCTAGAACTTGTTTTGGTCATTTCCTGGTATTTCTGGAGTTATAGAATCAGAAAAATGGCATCTTGATGGGTTAAGCTCAACCATTCATGAGTTGATGGTCTTAATATGAAGCTAGATGTTAGAAATGCAAGTTGGGCCTCTTTGAGCCATGCACAAGCATCAAGTTGATGACTTTATCATTTAAGACATTTCCCAAGAACTAGATCTGTGATTTGGATGTTTGGACTTAAGGAATTAAGTGCTTAATGGAGTTTTTGGCAATCAGGGGCATACATTAAGCGTATATAGGCGTACGCTCAGTGTAACGTGTTGTAGTCCCATTTGCTTTGCTTTGAAAACTTCTACATTGGGCATAACAAGGTGTTACATCGGGCGTACTCACCAGATGGCCTTTTGGGCCTTAGGTCTTTTGGTCCATTCTTGGGGCTTAGGTCTTTTGGTCCATTCTTGGGACTTAGTTCTTTTGGGCCATTAGTAGGCGTTGGGTCATGGCTTGTTGGGCATATAGTAGGAAGGATAAAAGGGACTTTTACCCTTTGCTATAGGAATTATGATTTGGACTTTCATTTGTTACCCTAAATAGTGACTAGGGTTGGTTTTAATATGTTCAGTGTGAGGAGTCGTGGTAGCAGCAACCAGAGAGTGTGATTTCTGCATCTTCAGACTGGGGTGAGTTTCCTCGCTGTATTTGTGGATCCAAGGCACTAATGTCGGCGCATTAGATTATGTTGTAGAATTGTAGTGATTTTCGTTACACTTATGGATATGTCTGTATGTGGTTGTTGTCTTTGTGACTCTTTCTAGTATGAATGTATGTTTAGCTGTAGGGGTGAAATAGACTCGTACTGGTTGAAATATATCGAAGGAGTCGGAAGGGACTCAGAGAGTTAGAAGGGACTCAGGGGTAAAATGAACCCGTTGTACCTTGTATGCTATGTATGATATATATATATATATATATATATATATATATATATATATATATATATATATATATATGATGTATGGTATGTGGTATTTGAGGAACTCGCTAAGCTTTGTGCTTACGATTTATGTTTATGTTTTAGGTACTTTTGGTTCAAAAGGAAAGGGCATGGCCTGATCGCAGCTCATCCACCCATGTTTCCGCAATTTTTAAGATTTTGGGATTTGTACTCGGATACTATTTTTACAATGGCATACTTTGATGGTTGTTTGAGATATTTGATGAATTTTGGTTGATTTAAAAAAATGAAATTTGTACTTATATTTTTGGAATATTTCAAAAACCCCTAAAATGCAAGACAACAAAAAATGGTAGAAAAAAGAAAAGCAAAATGGAGACTCCTTGTTACTGTTTTCTTACCATTAAAGTCTTGAGTGGAGAAAAAGGCCCACCGGAGAGCTTGAATACAAGTAGAAGAGTGTTGTGTTCTAAATGACATAAAGGGAATCAATCACCATTTGTTAGAAATAAAGATAGATTAGTGAGTATGCATATGGAAGAAGAAGAAGATGATGATGATAGTAATGGTAATGGTGGCCTCTCAAATTAACATAAAATAAAGGGAATCAGTCACCATTTGTTAGAAGGATGCACCCTTGTTTTGGTGTATTTCATTAGTGTTTAGTATAGAGAGAGATTTGTAGGGTTGTATGTGTGTGTGTGTGTGTGAGAGAGAGAGAGAGAGAAAGGCCCTCAATTTTTTTAATAAAATTTAAAATTAAAGAGAAAAAACATAAAATACGTATCAAAAGGACATTTAGTCTTTCCAGTTTTACGAGGCACCAAAATCACAAACAAACATTGTGAAAAGGACAACCAATTTGAAAAAGTTGGGGTTTAGATTAAAACCTAGAATACTTGTATATCATAGGATCATTTTTGCAGTTTTGTCTAAAAACAATTCATATGTGATAAAATCAAATATATTATGCATGGCTTTAACATCTAGTTAGGCTTTCAATTAGTCGGTTGTTCTAACAAGAAGCATTTATAAGGTAACATAGAAAATATAAAAGAAATGATGATAAAAATAAAAAAAATATTAAATAATAAAAATAATAAAAACTTTTAAAGTATAAAAATAGCTCACCTTTCTTGATATAAAAGTAGAAACAAAACCAAGAAGGTACACCATTTCTTTTTGACTTTTTACAAAATTAAATGCTAAAACATAAAATGTAAATGGTATTTTAATTAGTATTTTTAGTTTTCCGATGGATCAACATCACAAGTAAACATGATTAAAAGGACCATTAATTTGAAAAGTTGGGGTTTAGACTAAATTACAAAAAAATTGCATAGTAAAGGGATAATTTTTGGCTTTTTGCAGTTTTGTCTATAAAAAAAATTCCTAGTGATAAAATTAAATATATTATGCATGACCATAACATCTAATTAGGTTTTTAATTAGTTGGAGGTTCTAACAAGAAGTATTTATAAGTTTACATAAAACAAAAAAAAGGAATGATGATTAAAAAAAACTTTTAAAGTATAAAAATAGTCCACCTTTCTAAACCTACAAGTAGAAACAGAACCAATAAGGTCCACCGGTTCTTTTTGACGTTTTACAAAATCAAACACAAGAAGACAGACGGTCCATCAGTGCCCAAATTAATTTCATAATCAACGTTTCAACGCTCCATGTGCCAGATGATGGTATCTTAAATATTCTTTTCACGCTTGTGTCTCCCTTTATATAATCCCCTACAAATTCACATACTGAACAACCTCCAGAAACCAAAATGTCAGACTACTTGTCTTTTGAACTTCAAGTGGAAATCATTAAAAGACTTCCAGTTAAGCCATTGCTTCAATTCAGATCTGTCTCAAAACGATGGAAGACTTTGATCAACAGTTCTAAGTTTATTGCTACTCACACGGTTGGCCAGACTCAACTGAACCGTCTTCTTGTATGGTATGAAGATTGCTATGTAGATCTTGGAAAGACTGGGAAAAAAATTGTTTCATTTGTTAATGATGAAACTTTAGAGTCAATTTTTACTCGCCAGGAGATTGATCCGACTACTCTTGGGCTTGCTAAACATTACAAGGATTTACGAGTGGTTGGCAGCTCTCAAGGATTGTTGTGCTTGTACGATTTTGAGCGAGATCATTCTTGTTATAAATCTGCAACAGCGATGGTTGTTCTTTGGAATCCTTCTATTAGAAAATCCATTGGTGTAGTTGTTCCTCGTGTGTCAGGGTGGGGATTTCGTCATACTGTTCTTGGTTTTGGGGTTTGTCCTATCACCAGTGATCCTATGATTGTCAAGATTACAAATGTTAGCATGGAAATGAGAAATAGTACTGGCGTCCATTGGGCAGTTGAAGTTTATACATTAAGCACAGGTAGTTGGAGAATTCCTACAAGCAAACTGCCTGATAAACCTGTTACAGTTAGATGGAATCCGGTTGTTATAGATAAGTTCATTTATTGGTTTGCTTTTCATGGGATTGAGGAATTTGTTAAATATGGGGTAGATGCAAATAAGCTGATTTTGTCATTTGATATGACTACTCAAGAATTTACTCTGATAGACTTACCAAACTGTTTTTCACATCAAGCTTCCATGGAATTTTCCATTTCTAAGTTAAAAGGGTCACTTGTGCTGCTTGAATACAATACAAACAATGAGAAACGAGACTGTGTCATATGGGTGATGACTAATGGTGTTTCGAACTTGTTTTCAAAGTTGTGTGCCATTAACGCACCATATGCATCTATAAAGATTTTGGGATTTATGAAGAATGGTGGTCCCATGATGGAAACACAAGATGAATTTGGAGAACCAGCTGCATTTGTATTCTATGATCTTTGTTCAAAAGACTTTAATCATACTGCTATTTACGCAAAAGGTGGTTCATTTTTTGTTGACTCATACATGGAAACCCTGCTTTTGCTTGATCACCCAGATTCTAGTGTTTTTTCTATCACTAACTGAAGACAAGCCGGTGGCTGCATTGAAAAAGCTGGAGCAAATAAGCAATTCGTTTATGAGCAGCCAAGAAAGATAATACATAAAGTATTCTATTTCAGGAGGAAGAATCCAAGCTTCCAAACTAGTAGTAACCGTTTTCTTTTTGGGTACCATTTTCTCAGTGTGTTAATGTTGAAGTTAAATTCCAGGTTTTAATTCATATGGGTTACCATGCATCGATGTGACAATTCTACAATAAATGCAACTTAATCTTTACTATATTATTAAGGACATTGCCTGTTTCTTGAAATTTAAGAGGTATACTTATTACAACATATAGTACAATCTTATTAAGCTTACAAATGAAAGCGTACCTCTATCTCTACATGTTGGAAACACTAAACCCTAGCCCTCCTCGACACAACATCTCGCCGTCAAACCCACCCCCTCTATCTCCTCTCTTCTAACTCGCTTCAGTTTCTGTTGAACCTCAGGTATCACCATCCTCGCTCACTCAAATGCTTTTCCTCCTGATGAATATTCCTTCTAACCTGGATGATCGACGCCCTGCAACTCTACTTTTCTTTACCTCTGTTTCTCTTCTCAAAACCCCAATCACACATATGTCTAATTAAGATCTAGCTTTTGAAACCCTATCTAGCTACTGCCATTGCCACCTCCTCTCTTACCCCTCTTTTACCTTCTGTTATGACGAGAAACCCTAACAGTCTCCACAACCCTAACCGTCTCCACATAGTCTCTGTCCTTACACCATTATTCCGATGATGAACCACACCACGATCTTATTTTGTGTCTCTCTATCTCTCTCATGTGCGATTTATTTTGATTTTTCTCTTGATCCATTGTTATCCTTTTAGCTAAAGCTTGAAGAGTTATTGCAGTTTTGCAGATGGTGTCAATATAGGGTTAAAAGTCAAAGAACCCCTCCCGGTGAGTCTCATGTGTATTTACCATCCCACCCTATCAATTGTGATTAGTCTCAATTGCGATTTCTTTGTTTTTTTATTGTTGTTCCAACATATCATACTACCCGAGAATTGGTAACACTGATAAGATTGTTGATTTTGATTTCAGTTTTATGGGTTCTTTTGTACTCCCCGATTGGTGATTTCATATTCAACACTAAGGCATCTACAATGTGTCTCAGGCGCTTTCAATCAATGGTTTGTCTTTTCTCTTTGTTGACATGTATTATTGGTCGTAATTTTGCAAGGTTGGCAAGTGTTTCTCATATGCTTACGAGAAGAAGTGCTGAAATTTTAAAAGAATGATCTCATGGTTTCTTGATTTTGACAGTGGAGGA